AAAGATTTTGACATGAATGATTGAATCTTCACTTGGGCCTCTGGGTTGATGAAATCGGGGTCCACTAAGGATTGGTGGATAGCTGACACTTGTGCTCCAGTATCCCTCCACGCGATAACCTTCTGCCCGCCCACACTCACGGTTTTCTTTCGCTCTGAGGGTACCTGGGAGTCATCTGGGCCTGAGGACCTTTGGTGTGATTCCGGTGCAACGAACTGTAATCTGTTGGGGTTCTTGGGGCAGTTGGCCTTCACATGCCTCAGCTCATTACATTTAAAACATCGTCCAGCTGACGGGTCACTGGGGCGAGGCGGGTTGCTGGAGAACGGGGTGGTGGGATGATAAGGTGTCTGGGGTTTTCCTTGGGAGGTAGGTGGGGCCTTGGGTGGCCCCTGGTAATAGGGTGTGGTCTGGGGTTGTCCCTTCTGGTATCCACTCCAACTGCTACTAGTTTTTTTCTTTTCTGCCACCTCCACCCCTTTGGTTCCAATCTCCCCCACCTCGATTATAGTTTTGGGCTTCCCATCTAGGATGTACCTTTCTATTTCCTCAGGAACACCATCTAAGAACTGCTCCATTTGCATTAGGAAAGACAGATCTTCCAGAGATTTAACACTTGCTCCTGATATCCAGGCATCCCTATTTTTTTACAATCTGGTAGGTGTGTCGGGAAAATGTCACGTCTGGTTTCCACTTTAGGGCTCTGAACCACCAACGGGCACGCTCGGGTGTTAGCCCCATTCTGATTCTGGCCTGTTTTTTAAAAAGTTCATAACTGTTCATTTGTTCCTTAGGCATTTCAACTGCCACCTCAGCTAAGGGTCCACTAAGCTGTGGCCTCGCTCTGCCATGTATTGGTCTGTAGAGATGCTGTACACAAGGCAGGCCCTTTTGAAGTTTTCTAAGAAGGCCTCAGTATCATCGTCTGCCTTGTAGGTGGGGAACTTTCTGGGATGGGAAGTGGTACCTGGAGAAGGATTGCTAGGGTTGTCTGGTATATTCTGCTGAGCCTTGCCTTCTCTATCTCCAGTTCATGCTACCTCTCTTTTTCCTTTTCCTCCATAGCTCTCCTGTGGGCAGCCTCTTCTGCCTCCACCCTGGCTTTTTCTGCCTCCATCTCCAAGTGTCTTGAGGCCATCTGTCTATCACACTCTTTTTGTCTCTCTTCAGCTTCGAATCTGGCGAATTCTAATTTCTTTTGGACTTCACTGTCCGTCATCCTAGCCTTCCTGTGCTTAACCTCCTAACCTGAGAGCTAGAAGGAAAAAAAAAACAACAACCGAGCTTGTGAATTCCCTTGCTGCTGGAACTTAACTCCTCTGCCCTGAGGCAGAGAAAAAAACTCCAGCTGCTCTCAGCTAAAAAACCTGCTTCCAGGCAGCCAAAAGGAAAAAAAAATGTCCTTTTAAAATCCTATGTGCTTTTGGTTCAAAATGATCCCACTTCTCTGCCACCATGTCAGGGTTCCTTCCCCACTCTGAACTCTGGGGTACAGATGTGGGAACCCGCATGCAAGACCTCCTAAGCTTATTTTTACCAGCTTAGGTTAAAAACTTTCCAAAGGCACAAATTCAACCTTGTCCTTGAACAGTATGCTGCCACCACCAAGTGATTCAGACAAAGATCAGAGAAAGGAGCACTTGGAGTCCTATTCTTCCAAAATATTCCCCCAAGCCTTTACGCCCCCTTTCCTGGGGAGGCTTGAGAATAATATCCTCACCAATTGGTTACAAAGTAAACACAGACCCAAGCCCCTGGATCTTTGGGCACTGAAAAAAATCAATCAGTTCTTAACAGAAGAATTTTATATAAAAAAAGAAAGAAGGTAAAAATCCCCTCTGTAAAATCTGGTTGGAAGATAACTTTACAGGGTAACAAAAGATGCATAAAACACAGAGGAACCCCCTCTAGCCTTAGTTTCAAAGTTACAACAAAACAGGGATAAACCTCCCTCCAGCAAAGGGAAAATTCACAAGTTGAGAAAACAAAGATAAACTAATACGCCTTGCCTGGCTGTACTTACAATTTCTGTAACACGAGAGACTGGTTCAGAAGGGTTTGGAGGACATGGATTAGTCCCAAAAGCGAACCAACACAGAAACAAAGAACCCAAAACAAAACCTCTCTCCCGTCCCCCCTCCCCCCAGATTTGAAAGTATCTTTTGTCCCCATTGGTTCCTTTGGTCAGGTGTTTTGTTTTCCCTTTTAAGAAAAGGAGGTTGTCTCAGAGACTAACCAGGTTATTTGAGCATTCTAGCTACAGCCCACTTCCATACCATGGTAACTACAGAGACATTATATACACACAGAACCATAACAATACCTCCTCCCCCCCACTTTCTCTTAATACTATCTAAGGATCATCATTGGGCCATTTCCAGAAACCAGTTTTTTCACCCCTCCGCCCCCCCACAAACTCACTCTCCTGCTGGTAATAGCCCACCAAAGTGACCACTCTCTTCCAATGGTAATAATAAGGGGCCATTTCTGCAACTCCCCCCCCCCCCCCCCCCCCCCAAACCCCCCCCAAAAACACACCCCCCCCCCGAAAATAATTATCCAAAAAAACCACCCCCCCCACAATATACACAAAAAAAAAAGGAAGTTTTCAACCAACACCCCCCCATTTTCTCCCCCCCCCCCCCCCCCCCCACCCACAAAAACCCCCCCCCCTCCTGGTAGGAAAAGAGAAAAAGGAAGAGCCGGGACTGGGACATTATCACATAATGGCTGGGGAGCCAATGCAGGTTGGACATATGAACTCAGCATCATTTGGCAGCAGGAGAACAGGGGAGGACGGGTGTCAGGGAGCCTGTGTTTAAAACAGCATTCACAAACACACAGGGCCTTTCATTCAGGACTCAGAGGCAAAGGGACAGAGAGAGAGAGACAGCCCCGATGGATCCTACAGCAGCTTGGCTTGGTGGAGCCCTGGCTTCAGCCACTATGAGCCTTGTTTTAACCTCTGCCCCTCTGTGCTAACCTAAGGATTTCCCAACACTGTATTCCAGTTGAGTAATACACCCCATCCTGTAGTCACTGGGCAGAGCTCACCATGAGAAGCAGGAGAGCTAGAGCCCAGAGGCCGGGCTCAGAGGCATTGAGGCCAGGTGGCCTATCCTCTTGGAAAATGTGACCCCTTGAGGGTCTGTCATGCTGAAGGGGTTCCTCCCCAGGGACTTTTTAAAGGCAGGGCGGAGCACAGACATAGTGACAGTCATACAAATGGAAGCAGTGTGATGCTGTGAGCCCTGAGAGGCTGGGGGACTGTGCGTGGGACTAGAAGCCACGAACACCTGCATCCTGTTCCCAGCTCTGCCACTGACTCTGCGTGGCCTTGGCCCGTCATATACAGATGGATTCTGGCCTTTTCACATTTCTCTGGCAGAGTAAAGGGGGTTGGGCAATTCCTGGGACAATGCCGCCCCGCCCCCCCGCAGGAGTGGCTCAGGGCTGGCGTACTTGACCGTATCCTCAGAGCACCAAAGGGTGTCATATGGTGGGGCTGGAGCACTTGGCGTTCTGCCAATACCAGGGCTGCAGAGCAGCTAAGGAGGCTGCTGAAAGTTAGGGCAACCCTAAGGGTGCTCTAATTGACACTGGGGGCTTTTGCAGTCCCTGGAACAGCCCAGGATCCAGGAGATGCAAAGGTGGCTAGAAGCCAGGCTCTATCCTGGGCTGCACCTCCTGAGAGGCAGAATTTCATCTTTAGATTTGGCACAATATCGCCTTAAGGGCTAATTACATCTCCTAGGTGATCTTCTTACTGAGACCTTTACTACACTCTTAGGGAAACATTTTAAAATGCTCCTTCTCCTAGAAATCAACCCCTCTTTTCTCCTCATTTTTCCCCCTTCCTATAACGTATAAAGTATATATCATTATTGTGCTTTACATTCCACCTGCTTTCAGCCATGTCTCAGAGTTAGGCAAAACACTCACAGGGACTGTAATGGATCACTTTATCAAAATGACTGCGGGTTGAGATTTTTCATCAAAACATTTTTTGACCAAATGTGGCTTTTTGAGCAAAATGCAAATTTGCAATTTCAGTCAAAAATTTCCCTTCTTGTTGAAAACCATACAAAAAAAATTTTGTCTGGAAAACTGAAAAATTTTCATTAAAAATACATTCTCAGTAAGTACTTTTGGTTTACTTCCCAGGTTTTGGACAAAACAAACAAACTAAAAACAATTGGTAGGAAATTTTGAAGAACAGTTTTAAAAAAATTCCCCACTAACAATAATTGGCATTTTCAAACCAGTTCTACTCAAACCTGATTTAGCCAAGTTTGCTCTTCTTTAATTTTTGCTGTTTAAAAATCATCTTTGTAACTTTACGTAAATTCTCCCAGAGTTTGGAAGAGTGTGATCAAAGCCCTGCTGTGCCTGGGAGCTACTCCTTGTTTTTCCACACTCCCCACCTAACCCCCACGCTCCCTCCAAGCCAGTCTGCCCTTTTCTTCTCAGCACCAGAGGTGAAACCCTCACCCCCCTGGTGCCAGTGGGAGGATTACTGCCAGGTGTCACCCAGCAGCTCCACGACCCAGCTCTCCCCCACGTGGTGAACACTCAGACGCATCTCCAGCTCCCGAAACTCTCCATTGCATTTCTGGTTGCTGGGCAGAGGTTTCTAGTTGCTAAGGGCAGGACCAGGCTAGGGGTAGTTTCTAGTTATTGGGGGCCATTCTACAGAACTGACTGTCCCTGCAAGCAGGACCCAGCTACATGTCACGTCCCACTGAACCAGAAATTAATCAGCCTCAGGGGGACATTTCTGGGCACAGCAGCCACATGCTGCCAGCGGGGACTTGCTGTGGGGCCTCTTGTAGGCCACAAGACACATTTATTGCCCAGCGCTCCCTGACTCCTCTGCCCACCAGCTGCCACCTTTGCTGCTCTGCTCATAACCCCTGAGTCCCCTCAGGCAGAGCTCAGGCTGGGGGCCCAGCTGGCTTCCGTGGGAGAGAGACAGGACCCTAAAGCCCCAGGAATCCTACCTGCGTCCAGCCGGTGAACGTGGAGAGAAATGAGGAAAAGGGTGAAGCCAAGCAGCGGCCGTGACCTCACGGAGCCAGGGGACGCTGAGGAATCCTCCATCGCCCTGGTGTCCAGACCACCACACAAGCCCTGGGTGAGCGAGTCAGTGAGTGGGACCCTGCAATCCAGGACATGAGAGTGGTAAACCGGCAGAGCTGGTGCAAGGACGCTGACTCCACTAGGCCCTGGAGTGCCAGAAGCCCACGTTCAGGCCGGCCCTTTCAGAGGTGCCCTGCCCAGCACCTGCAGCTGAGGCCAGATTCTCCAGAGGGCTCAGCGCGCCGGGTGCACATAAAGTGCTGACTCGTGCTGACAGTCCGGCCCACACCCAGGCCAGCCCCAGCCCGGGCACAGGAATAAATCCACCCTTAAAGGAAAGATTTCTAGGCAAGTTCCAGAACTATTGGCCGAAAGCTCCTGGCCCCCAGCCTGCACGTGCCCTCAGCCCAAGGAACTCCGAGCTGGATTGAAACTGCAGCCCTGTGCTACAAAGAGGGCGGGGTGGGGGGGTCGTTCTTAAACCACACACAGGGCAGCCCCCTCTGTCACTCCGTATGGCAGGGGGCCCTGCTGCCACCCAGCTGCAGCTTATAGGGGGAGGAGGAGGTCTCCCATGCTCCATCCCTGCCCATCTGGGAAGGAGACTCCAGCCTGCCCAAAGGGGAGTCTTCACAGCCCTTGCCAGTCCAGCACACACTTATTGTGTGGGTTGTCTCTGATGCAGCCACTGAAAATGTGGGCGGGGGGGCGGGGCCCAGGGAGTGCCATATAACTGGGGCCCTGGATTGTCACTCTCCAGCCCATAAGGGTGGCATCCCAGGGTGGGCCCAGCTGGAGTCAGTGCATGCTGGCTGTACAGAGGGCTGAGGACCTCAGGCAGCACCCTGAAGCAGGACTGTGATCCCACAGGACTCAGCAAAAGCCTCAGGCAGAGAAAGTCCCCTCTGGGGAATCAGGTTTCTGGCACCAGCAAGATCAAACAACCTAGCAGAGCCCTGGGGAATTATCTCTGTGTGAAGCTCAGTAATAGAACAGAGCACAGCTGCACCTCTCAAAGGATTACACACAGGGGCATCAGCAACATCAGTCAACGGGGGAAACTGAGTCACGGCTTCTGCAAAGAAAATTCATACCTCATTAATCTGTTAGAACTCTTTGAACGTGCCAAAAGGGATAGTCGATATAATTTACTTGGACTTTCAAAAGACCTTTGGCACAGTCCCTCTCAAGGGGCTACTAAAGATATCAAGTCATGGGTGAAAGGCAAAATATTGCCATGGATCAGAAACTGGCTTGGCAACAGAGGGAATAAATGGTTAGTTTTCATCATGGCCATAAGAACATAAGAGTGTCCATATTGGGTCAGACCAAAGGTCCATCCAGCCCAGTATCCTGTCTACCGACAGTGGCCAATGCCAGGTGCCCCAGAGGGAGTGAACCTAACAGGTAATGGTCTAGTGATCTCTCTCCTGCCATCCAGCTCCACCCTCTGACAAACAGAGGCCAGGGACACCATTCCTTACCCATCCTGGCTAATAGCCATTAATGGACTTAGCTTCCATGAATTTATCCAGTTCTCTTTTAAACCCTGTTATAGTCCTAACCTTCACAACCTCCTCAGGCAAGGAGATCCACAGGTTGACTGTGCGCTGAGTAAAGAAGAACTTCCTTTTATTTGTTTTAAACCCGCTGCCCATTAATTTCATTTGGTGGCCCCTAGTTCTTATATTATGGGAACAAGCAAATAACTTTTCCTTCTTCACTGTCCCCACACCACTCATGATTTTATAGACCTCTATCACATCCCCCCTTAGTCTCCTCTTTTCCCAGCTGAAAAGTCCTAGCCTCTTTAATCTCTCCTCATATGGGACCCGTTCCAAACTCCTAATCATTTTAGTTGCCCTTTTCTGAACCTTTTCTAATGCCAGTAAATCTTTTTTGAGATGAGGGGACCACATCTGTACGCAGTATTCAAGATGTGGGCGTACCATGGATTTATATAAGGGCAATAAGATATTCTCCGTCTTATTCTCTATCCCTTTTCTCATGATTCCTAACATCCCGTTTGCTTTTTTGACTGCCGCTGCACACTGCATGGACTTCGTCAGAGAACTATCCACGATGACTCCAAGATCTTTCTCCTGATTAGTTGTAGCTAAATTAGCCCCCATCATATTGTATGTATAGCTGGGGTTATTTTTTCCAATGTGCATTACTTTACATTTATCCACATTAAATTTCATTTGTCATTTTGTTGCCCAATCACTTAGTTTTGTGAGATCTTTCTGAAGTTCTTCACAGTCTGCTTTGGCCTTAACTATCTTGAGCAGTTTAGTATCGTCTGCAAACTTTGCCACCTCACTGTTTACCCCTTTCTCCAGATCATTTATGAATAAGTTGAATAGGATTTGTCCTAGGACTGACCCTTGGGGAACACCACTAGTTACCCCTCTCCATTCTGAAAATTTACCATTTATTCCTACCCTTTGTTCCCTGTCTTTTAACCAGTTCTCAATCCGTGAGAGGATCTTCCCTCTTATCCCATGACTACTTAATTTACGTAAGAGCCTTTGGTGAGGGACCTTGTCAAAGGCTTTCTGGAAATCTAAGTACGCTATGTCCACTGGATCCCCCTTGTCCACATGTTTGTTGACCCCCTCAAAGAACTCTAATAGATTAGTAAGACATGATCTCCCTTTACAGAAACCATGTTGACTTTTGCCCAACAATGAATGTTCTTCTATGTGTCTGACAATTTTATTCTTTACTATTGTTTCAACTGATTTGCCCAGTACTGACGTTAGACTTAAGCCAAAGGTTAACAGGTACTAGGTCCTGTGTTCTTTCATAGACTTATTCATGAGCTGGAATGGGGGTGGGGAGGTAGTGATAGATGATGGTGACACAAAGATATTGAGGTTAGTCAGGCCATGAGAGGGCGGTGAGGAACTTAAGAACAACCCAGGGAATGGACAACAGGAGACCAAATGAAATCCAGTGTCGATAAATGCCAAGTACTGTACACAAGAGGGGAAAGTCTGAACTCCTCATCCAAATGGACTGTACCAACTCAGGGGAGGACCTGGTCATCACAGCAGCCTGCTCAATGGAGACCTCTCCTCAATGAGTAGCTGCAGGCCAAGAAAGCTAACAAAACATTGTTCTGTGGGGCGGGAGGGGCTTTTACCAGCAGCACTGCAGGAAGCCTGGGGTTCCTCCTGTATTGGGTGAGCCTGGGAAGGGGAGAGGCTGGAAGGACCCTTAGCCCTGGATTTCCAGCTTTTGCTTAATAAAGCTAATGTTAAAAAAAATTACATAATATTTACACAGGTTAAGAAAAGAGTGTCTGTACATCTAGGTATAGTGCTTTGATTAGCCATAAAGACAAAGTTTGTTTTAAAAGTCAAAAATACATGAAATACATAATCAGCAATAACCCAAATTTAGGGGGTTAAATTTAACAATATAGTTTAGATATTAGAATCCGAATACTTGGGTACATCACTCATGAAAAGCTGTACAGAGAGTTGGTTGGGAAAGCAAATATATCAATGAGTGAAAATTGTCCCTCAGTAATTGAGAGATTAGGGCAGGTTGTCCGTTGGTATTTCACTGGGAATTGAGCCAATCAGGCTCTTTCTGTGCCATCCCTGGGTAGTTGGGTACTGGCCACACTTTGCTTTGTGCGGCATCTTTATTTGTAGAGTCACATGCCAAAGAAAGTGGGTGGGGGCAGTCGGAGGCCGCATGGAACTCGTAGCTCATCACCCTGCAGCTACCAATTCTCCCTGCTCTCTCCAGCCTTCAGCAGTTGTTTGTATGGAATGTTTGCAGGCCGGGTGAGCATGAGCAGGGACCCCGTAGGGGAGCCCCATCTCCTGGGCGGGCTGGCTGAGTCATGAGACACTGCTGCTGAGGGGGGATGAGGCAGGAGTTAAAATAACTGGTGTCCCAGGCAACTCTGACACCTCCCCTAGAGGAAAACATGCAAGACTAGTTCTGATATTTATTATTAGTCTTTCTGTAGAGTGAAATACCAGTCAAAATACCCCTGCAAAATGCTCCGGATGCCTGAACAATTTATTAGAGTCACAATGGCTGGCACCCACTTGGCAGTTAAACATTATCCCACACACACAATGAATGAACTCAGCCAGCCAATAAATCAAAGCTGCAAAATTGCCGCATTAGCTGCCCAGGAACAACCCTGAACCCTCTCCCGTAGCTCTATCAAGTAAAGAAGGGCCCGTTAGGTTCTGGTGAATGGGCTGGTCCCTTGTGATGCACCCTGGAGCCAGACAGGGTCTTTCTGATTAGAAGCCAGGCCAAAGAGCTCTGGGGGGACGATGATATTGGCTGAGTTAGAGCACATATAGGGGGAGCTTGCCAGCTGCTGCACCCCTTTGTAGGGCTGCCCTGCACTGCCCTTCCCCTGCTGACAGAAGACTAGGGATTTAAAAACAAGGTAAAGGATGAAAACTTCCTGCCACCTCCCTTATGAAACCAGGAGAAACTTCTCAGTGGTTACAGAATTGCTGTCCTCCAGCTTCTCTACAGTCGGTTACATGGACCCCTAGTCCAGGAGGTGCCTCACAATTAATGAATTAAAGTGAGGCTACGAAGCAAAATCATTTTGGAAAAGAGAATCAGTTGGATATCAGTCTGGTCTCCTGCAATTTCCTGTTAATGCTTGTTTAATGGCTGCAGAATCTGTTCTTTTCTCCTGCACATAGCAAGGCTAAAATAGAAAGTGAAAGAGTAAAGCAGAACAAGGGCGTTTGCCAGAGGTCAAAAAATCATTTTTTTTCTGCTGTTTAGCAAAACTGACAACCACAACCTCCACTTTTCCCACAGCTGCTGGCCCACAGCTCCTCACAGCCTGGACAGTAGGGTCAGGGCCTCCCTCGCTTATCCAGCTCTGACTCAGGTCCAGCCCTCCTACCAATACCCCCTACTCTGAATAGCCTGGGTTAAGTGACTTGTCCAACATCCTGGCTCTTCCTGCAGCCTCCTCCTCATTCCCTGTGCAGATGTTCTATCACATTATAGGATATGCTAGGTAAATTGGTCTGTGTGTCTCACAGCACTTAGCAGAGGTGGCTGGGCAGAGCCGAGCACACAGATTTGGCTCAGTCAATCTGACAGACACTGTGGCCTTGTGGGAGAAACCTGTCCTGATCCTAACTCTACTAGAACTGAGCTTGTGCAATATCTCATTTTGTTACCTCATCTGTTAGAAGGGGGACAAGGATCCCTGGTGGTCTCCTCAGGTAGGGACATGAAACCTTGATCACTAACAATAATGCGCAGTGCAGAGAACTGTTAACACCAGTGAGTGGAAGAGGTGAGACTAGACCACATGGTCTCCTGGCTCCCAGCCCAGGACACCTCCCTCTAGTCTAGGGGCATTAATCTCATTCTGTGCAGGGGGCCAAATTCCATTTTATTATGATCTCTGGGCCACGGTGTCCATTTAGGGCTCATCACTCTCCTCCTTCCAAAGTGGCACCCTCACCAGCCTCTGTGAGAGATTACGAGCAGTAATAGAGTAAATTCCCTGTTCATTATAATCACTGTGTTACTTCTTCAGGGCCTTGTTATCGCGCTCAGCATCACTCAGAGGGGAACATGCTCACCACTGTGACCACCACTCTCTCTGTCCTTTGCTCCCCTTCCTTCCCCATCCTCCTTTTTTCCCTGCTTTCCTTTTTCTCCCCTGCCTCTTCCTGTCCTCCCTTGGCATTTCCTTCTCTTCAGCTACTCCCACTTCACCCTCAGGGTTGCCCTCCCACCCTCTACCCTAGCCCAGCTACTAAAATGGACAGCAGTGAAATAGTTAATGCTCAGGTTTAAACATAATTGTTGTGGGGGGAAAGCTGAGGTTCTGCAGAATTTAGTATTAGTGCTGGGCCTTCTCATTCTGTGGTTCAGGAAATGAGGTATAATAGCTTCATATTTTCAATTCTGGCCCTTGGTTCGGGTCGCACACACAGAAGATCTCAGCAATGGAAGTCCATTGTTGTGAGTTTGTGTGTCTCCTGTCCTTCACTGTGTCACCCATTTGCCAGAGTAAACCAATGGGGGAGCACTAGGAAACATGAGACAATATTGGCCAGCAATGCCTCCAGACACCAGAGGGAGATACACGTGCAAAGAGCTCAGGGCTCATTGGTCCTAGGCTGAGTCCCTGAGTCCCTGAGGCAGGAGGAATAAAGGGCTCTCCCTCCCTTGGGGATCAGAGGAGTCCCACTAGAGGATGACTGTTTTTCATTCAATATAGGTAAAAAAAATCAGCTCACAATCAAGGTGCCCTAGCTCAGCAATGCTTTGTTCAAATAACTCCAGGTGTCCCCAATAACTTGATCTCACCCCTGACAATCAGGCTGAGCCGACTTGTCTCTTGGAATTTAGAGAGGATTAAAAAAGTTGTTTTTAAACAAAAACTTAGTCACAGACTTAACTCTGGAGATGCTACTGCCTATGTCTCCAGCTCTCCTCCAGGGCCCACGCTGATTTATGCCAGCCGATACCCTGGCAAAGGTTTCCGATGGTGGAGGGTTTACCAGGAATCCAGGGTACGGTGGCACTTCTTGTGTTCACAGCACACACAGAGAGAAGTTAAATAACAACGTAACTTTTTTTCTTAGAATTCAGAACACACAAGAACCCAACACTAAGAAGAGAGACAAAGCAGGCTGCTCCCTAAAACAGAGAGGCCCAACTCTCCCCACCTTGCTTTAAGCTGGCTGTCTGCAAACTGGCTGCTGGTACAGTCACACGCTTATCTACAGAGCCCTCTAGCCTGCAAGTCTGACCACCCCACCCTGTAAAGCGATAGCTGGCAATTCCAACAGGCGACTCTGAGGACCTCTAACCTCCCCTATGCTCAGGCAGCCGTTGAGGGTCAGTGCAGCCCAGGGAAGTGGGTACGACCAGGGCTGCCAGGGAACGCAGTGGCTCAGCCCCTGTGCTCAGTGACCCTGGCTGATGGGGCTCCAGCAGGTGTTACAGCTGAACCCTCTCCTGGGAGAACCCTTCGGAGAACAGCAGAAGTAACATCATCAGTCCTGTGTCTGGGTAACTCCCCCCTTTCCCTGGCATAGAAAGGTCCTCCTGGCCCAACGTGCCCGAATTAACCCCTCTCTGCAGCAGCCTTGTTGAATCTGGCCCATGCCATTTCCTTTCTTTTAGTCTCTTAGAGCAGAACTTCACTAGAGTGAGCTGAGGGCAAATACACACAGTCGACAGCGAAGGAGAAGGAGAGAGCACATACTCCTCTGAGGACAGCTCACAGGAAAGTCACCAGAGCAGGAGTGCTGGAGTGTAAATCTAATGCCAGGAAATAATGCAGAAGAGCGAATAAACAGACACTCTTTCAGTCTGTGTTACAGGGTAATGGAACAGGGACCACCAAGATCTCTGAGCATCTTAGACATTTCTGCAGCAATGTTTAAAGTAGGAAAGTGAGAGCCCCAGACAGACTCCCATCCATAGGAACAGCTCCCATGAAGAATAACAGAGCCTCACCCAGAGCCATCGAGGGCTGACACTCACCTGCCTGCTGGATCCTACAGGGAAGGCCTGGCGCTGGTGGCGGAGGAAGGACTCCCAGCTTCAGAACTGCCAGGTCTGCATTGCAAGTGAACGGCTCAGTATTTACAGTAGCATTGCACGTCTGACTCCAGTCTGTTCGGACAGTGATTGCTGGTTAACTTACAGCAATTTTATCTGAATAGGAACATTCTCCCTGCTTCTTGCAGCTTCCAACTGAAAGTGAAACCATCGCTGGTAAGTTACAGGAATTTCTTTTATGGTGCACAGAGATAAAAGACTTAAAGAAACACACACACAGTCCTAGGGAGGTGACAGGTTTAGTTGTTAAGGCATTTTCCTGCTCGCTCAGAGTCACTGTCACAACAATCAATTGTATTGCTGTTGTACACACTCGCCAAGGCCTTCTGCCCCCACGAGCACTACACTTTTCTGACTGAAGCAGTGTGCCAGGGTGCAGAACTAATCTAGCCTCAGCATTAGTCCTTGGCCAAGACAGGAAAGGCCTCCCTGCGGTTTCAGGTCATTCACACGTTTTCTGGCGCAAAATAGAATAAACTCTCTGAGAGACAGACTCCGTTCTCCTTCCACAATGGAACAATAAACCCCAAGAGCCATATTCTGCCTGGCCTTCACACAGGTGTTCAGTGTGAGCTCAGAGGACACAGAGAGGCTTTCCCTCCCTCCTTGCATGGCCTACATAAAGTCCCTCCCCACCTTGTGCCAGCAGGACTAGGGCAGGGCAGGGCAGCCCTACGAAGGGGTGCAGCAGCTGGCAAGCTCCCCTTGCATGTGCTCTAACCCAGCCACTATCCTCATCCCCCCAGAGCTCCCTGCCCTGGCTTCTAGTCAGAAAGGCCCTGTCTGGCTCCAGGGTACCTGACATGGGACCAGCCCCTTCAGCTGAGCCTAATGGGCCTGTCTTTATTTGATAGAGTTATGGGGGAAGGGTGAGGATTGTTCCTGGGGGACTAACAGGGTGCCTTTGATTTCTGGGCTGGCTGAGTTCATTCATCATTTGTGTGAGATGATGTTTTCCTGCTGGGTGGATGTCACTTGCTGTTGTGACCCTAATGAATTGTTCAGGCATCCAGAGCATTTTGGAGGGATATTTGATTGGTATTTCACTCTAAGGAAAGGCTAGTAGAAAATAACAGAACTGGTCATGCATGTTTTCTTCTAGGGGAGGTGTCAGAGTTGCCTGGGGACACCACTTATTTTAACTCATCTCCCCCAGCAGCAGTATCCCACGACTCAGCCAGCCTGCCCAGGAGACTGGGCTCCCCAAAGAGGCTCCCTTGCTCCCCTCTCAAAAGTGGGGGGCAATGGCCCTTTGCCCCCCTCCCCAGTCTCCAACAGCTATGGCAGAAATCCATCTCAGTGGCTTCTTGGGAGGGAGAGGAGCCAAAGTGGCCAGCGAGGCCATGGCAGAGAGCCCAGGGCTGGGGCTACATGGACAGACCCCAAGAGCCCCTCCTGTTGCCACAAGCAGGGGTCACTGCACAGATCTGCCCTGATGTCCCCTCGCCTATTGTCATGGATCCATAGGATTGGTGCTACGTTTTAGCTTTGATGCACCAGACCCTCGAGAGGTCTCACTCTTCCTCCAGGGTAAGACATGCAGCTTCACGGCCTCCTGTGACTGGACCTCTGGGCCCTCATTACTCCCACTTCACACCAGGAGCCCTGTTCAGCGAATCCAGTGGAGACAGACTCCTGATGGAGACTTGGCCACGCTTCAGGTATTAAGGCACCTCACCAACCATTTGCAGTGACATTCAGACAGCATTGACTAATAAAGCAGGGTGACCACCCATCCTGAATTGGACGGGAGAGTCCCGAAATGCAGAGTTCAAGTCCCAGTCCTGGGCTGAATGACTCCAGGACAGGATTTGTCCTGGATTCCCCGTGGCACTGCTCCGTGCCTGCCCGGGCTCAGGGGCGGAACAGCCTGTTCCCAGGGGTGGCAGGGGGATGAGGTGGGACTCACCACAAGGCCCTGCCCCATCCTCCTCCCTGCCCCCCCGGCCTCCCCGAGGTCCTGTCCCCAGGCCAGGTCAGAAGCTGGAGCTGGGCTGCTGTGGGGAGCCCTGAACCCTGCACCTGCCCTGGGCAGCATACCCCGGGGCACAGGGACAAGGACCGGGGTGTGGACTTGGGATCTCATCAACCCCACTCCCCATATTAAACCAGCTTGGGTGAAACTCAGGGAGTTCACCACTAAAATTGAAAAAATAATAATATTCTGCTGCTGATAAACCTCTGCCCCACAAATGTCCCTAACACAAGTTATAATCACCAAGGTTGTAAAGTAGAGATACCCTGACACCAGGAAAATTTTAGGGAGGATACAGAGATTACCATCTACACAAAACAAAAAGTCACAAATAAGTTATAATTTGGGCATGAAAGATAAAACGTAAAAAATATGTGCAGGAAGGAGGACACATAGGTGCCAATGAGTAATTGGTTAATTTTTTTGGTTAATTTGTTTGTTACTTAGGGGTATGGGATAACGTGATAGGTTTAGTAAATTTGAAGGAGGTAACTAGTTCTAGCTATATAATGTAAATCTAAAACAATGCTCTTTGGGAATCAGCTCCGGACTGCAGTACAATAACAAGCTGCAAAACATTGTATCCCCGGCACAGCTGTGATGTGTACGGGAGCTGGGAACGCCCAGACAAGTGCATCCTGGCTGGCCATCGGGTGACATTTGTATATTGGGGCTGGTGAGCATGAGAGATTTGCTGGGCATATGTGTTCTGTGTGTGGCTAATAATTAGATGTTTAGAGCACAGCTGTGTAAGGCTCTTTCACTGGGAAAATGTCCCGCAGACCCACAGAGCCGTGAACCCAGTGAGTAAGGGCAGGTAGTTACATTGACCAGGTTTCTTCCTAATCCCCACGGAGGGTAGGGGTAGGTGATTTACACCCCAAGACGTCAGTAGGGAAAGGGCGGGGATGCCTAACTTGACTGGATCACACCTTGAGCCCTTGGCAGGGCCTAGGCCGGCTCTCGCTGGTGGGGACACTTGTCAGCGTTGTGCTGTGCTGCTGAGCTGGGTGTGGCATGGGGCTGGGTCCTGGAGCCCCATGCTCTGCATTGCCCCCCTGCAGGAAGATCTGGAGCATCTCAGGTCAACGAGGAGATCAGCTGGGTGGAGCTGCAGCTGGACGTGTGTGAGTGCTGGGCTCTGTATGGGGGCCGCCTCATCGGACTGAGCACGACCCCTGCCACGACCAGCCTCTTGATACAGCCCCGTCCAGGCCCCACAGATACCCTGCAGCTACCTCCGATTGTCTGCGTGCTGGGGCAGCGAGCCTGTTCCTTTGTGGTCACAGTCCTTACTGGGCATTCAGTGACCTTTGGAGCTGCTTCCGTAGCCCCCCGCACTGCCCTGCGAAGCTAAGGAGGGTTGGCTGGATTAGCACTTGAGGGGTCAGGGATGCTCTCTGGCAGTCAGTGCTGGCCCCAGTGCGATGCCAGGGGAAGCTGTGCTGCAGGGAGTGGGGCGGGGGGCAGCAGGGGGCTCTCCCCTGGCAGTCATGGCTGGCCCCAATGCTGCTCCTCTCCTCCCCTCTGCAGGAAGCCAGGACCACATACCGCAGGATCCTCTCTGAGCCCAACAGGAAGCTCAACACCCAGGTCTCCCAGATTGGGAACTGCGTCGAGAAAGTACAGCCCTACTATGAGGCCCGTCGCCTGGCCAAGGAGGTGTGAATGCTCCCCTCCACCCTGCCCCATGCCTGGAGTAGCCCTCACCCTCGGGACATTTATTGCCTGACAAAATCAGACCCCTGGGTTCTGTCCTGGCCTGGGGACTGAGTGGGGGCTAGTGGGTTAGCGCAGGGGGGCTGGGAGCCAGGACTGCTGGGTTCTATCCCGCCACTGGGAGGGGAGTGGGGGCAGGAGTCCCTTGCCCTGCTCTCTCTCCGTGTGACTTTCCCTTCCCCACCGCACAGGCCCAGCAGGAGATGTAGAAGATGGCGCTGCTGTACAAGCGGGCCGTCAGCATGCACAAAGCCACTTGTGAGAAGGTCTTCGTGGTGGAGCAGGTCGTCATGGCCGACGAGAACCGGCTGGACCCCACCTGGCAGGAGACGCTCAACCACGCCACCTGCAAGGTGAGACGTGGGGGTGGGGCCGGAGGTTGTACAACCCATGTAGGGGAACCACGCCACCTGCAAGGTGAGACACGGGGAGGGGGCTGTACCAACCGCGTGGGTGGGGGGACCATGTCATCTGGAAAGTCAGACATGGGGACTCTGGGGAACGACTGCACAGTGAGTGGGAGCATCAGTGTGTCAGCTGGCTCTGCCAGCAGGCCGAGGCCAAGGTGCACGGCCCACAGCAATCCCTCAAAAGCAAGCCCTACTTTGAGCTCAAGGCCCACCTCAACCAAATTCAACTGCTGAGATCCTGGCATCTCTGGGTGGGGGTGGGGGGCAGGGAGTGCAACTGCCCCAGAGGAGATCCCGGCATCCCCGGGGGAGCCAGGGCACTCACCTGCTGAGAACCCATCGTCCTCGGGGGGAGGGACAGAGCGCTTGCCTGCCCCCACTGAGAACTCAGCATCCCTGGGAGGGGGCAGGCTGCTTACCGGCCCCTGCTGAGAGCCAGACGTGGACAGGGAAGGCTGGGCCTCTCGCCTGCTGAGAACCTGCCGTTCCCAAAGGGGCTGGGGTGCTCTTTTAATAACCTGCTGTTCTAGAGGTGGCTGGGGTGCCCTGCTAAGAATGAGCAGTGGCTGCAGAACTGTCAGGTGCAAAAGGCCACGGTCCTGGCCAAGCTCACCCCAGCCCTCCCCCACGGGGGCACCAGAACGAGATCTGCTCCGACAGTGGAGAAGCGAGTGGCGATCACACGCAGGACACTTCCAATCCTGGATTGCTATCGGTTGGTGAGAAATCATTTGGGAGCTGGAAAATCCACAGTGCGGACTCCTGTCATGCAAGTGTGCAGGGCCATTAACTGTCTTCTGCTGTGCAGGACGGTGACTCTCGGCAATGCGCAGGGACACAGTGGATGGATCTGCAGCACTGGGGTTCTCGAACTGCAGGGAGGTGACAGATGGCAGACACATCCCTGTTTTGTCCCCCGCCCATCGTGCCGCAGGTTACAGCTACAGAAAGGGCAATTTTCTTTGGTTACGTACGTGCGGGGGAATCACTGGGCTGCTTCACTGCTCTGTTGTGGACTGGTCAGGGAACGTGCATGACACT